CCCCAAAACCCCAAAACCCCAAAACCCCTGTATGTTAAAATTAATGCTTGTTGATTAGAATATTAAATATGGAAAATATAAACATTGAAAGTTTATGGATTATTTTATTGAAGAATCAACATTCAATCATTAAAATTATTTAGAAATAAAAGTATAAAATTTCAAATGAAAAGATAAGTCCGGTTTTCGGAGAACTCAACTAAATCTGTCAACATTCAGAAGTAGCCCCCTAACTAGAAACGGCTTTCTAGGGAGTTTACTCTTTCGCTTAAAACTGACGATAGCCCTGGCTAAGATGAGGAGCGCTAGAAAAGCCTGGAATAGGAGTATCCGGGCCCTAAAACTAGTGCAACTAACTTGGACTTGAAAAGCTTGTTATCAGATATACAGGGATTTTCAGTTCCTCATTTCGAAAATATGGATGTAAAACTCCTCGATGAGATTAGAGCAGTCAATGATGAGGGCAATGCAGCAAGGAAGCGAGCAGGTTGGGGACTGATATCAGATATAGTAGCTAAGTATCCAAGGCGGCAATCGATCGCAGTCACCATTCAGAAGTTAAAGGGAGATTAGTAAAAGCAACCAGAACAGCCACTAGTGAGTTAGAGAAGCATAAGGAACAGCAATAGAAGTCTAAAGTATGGTAATTTGAGAAAGTAGAGTAACATCTAGGTTTAAACTGAGTACGATGATCATATGCATGTCATTTAGTAGAGACTGGATGACTTGAAGAATCTGAAGGAGCATTTCTTGGAGGTGAAAAAAAGCAATGACAAGTAGAATGATTGGCTTGTAAGGTTTAGCAGAGACGTTAAGTTTAGCGGTCTTCATCGTTAGAATTTCAAGAAGGGCTAAAGACTCAGCTTGCTGCTTGGGTTCAAACAGCCATAAACACTTAATAGAAAGGACACTCTGATTAGTCAGATTGAAAATAACTCTGAAAGCAGCGATGAGACTAATGGCCAAGACTATGATGGCTCTAAATTCAAGCGAGAGCTCATTAAGCGACACATCAAAGTCAGTATGAGAAATCATTTCAAGAAAAAGCTAAACCTAACTAGTAATAATAGCATGAGAGTAGATGAAGAACAGTGGGATAGACAAAATTATAAGAAGTCCTTTGTAGGCATGGGAAATGGGGGCAGTGGGTAGAAATAGAACTTAAGCAATTTTTAATTGAATGTGCAGCATGACTCTCATGTAAGTGACTTCAGAAAGGTCTTTAAAGTCAATCAGTCCACCAAGGGAGGATTCGTAAAAGTGTTATCAACTTAGAACTAGATTGGTATAAGCAGGGACTCACCTGAGAGGTCAGCATTAAAGTAGATGTACACAAGAGGGGGGCTTCTAAGCAAGAGATTAAGTACATCTTAAGCAGTAGAAAGCAAATTCAAGACTACAGCATTGCAAAACCATTCATTGGAAAACAGAAGCATTAACAAAGAATCGCATAAGATTATTCCATACACAGGAAAATTTACACTGAAATTAGATGATAGTAGCACTCATAGGAATTTGGATTTCATAGATACACCTATCAGGCTAGACTCCAGTAATCAATAGACATCACTCAACTTTACTCAATAGTATCTGTAATAATCTCACAAAGGAAACTAAAGATACAAGAATAATAAAAATTAATTTACTGAGGCAGAGTATTAAAATTGCAATAGAGTGCACACATTGATGTCGCCAGCAGATTTCAATCACAATTTAATGCCTTCTGAGTCAACAGCACTTTCTTAGGTTAAGGCTAGAAAATCAGAAACAAAGAATAAAGAGAAGTCCAAGAATTTTAAATGGTATTAGGAGAATGATTCAGACTCAAATCTTGATGAAGATTTAGAGGAAGAAGTGGATGACAAGTCAATCATAAAAGGATGTGGCTAGGTTCAGAATCTTTTATCTTTATAGTCAGTAGAGTTAACTCGCAGACAATCTGAAGATATTGATTCACTAGATAGTGGAGAAGACTTAGACCTAAACAATGTTCTTAAGCTGGACAATAACGACAGTAAATCAAAACAGCAAATTAATAATACATAAGAAAACAAGCAGCTGGAAAATGACAGTAAAAGCAAATTGAGATATTCATTATTAGGAGATGATATCAAAAGGAAATCCAAACAATTTCTTATAAAGACTAATACCTAGGCTAACACACCAAGACTAAGGAAAAGCTTAATCACTAATGCCTCAGTTTAAAACTCACCTAGTTAAATAACAGATTAAGGGGTATTCAGTTTTAAGAAATTAAGTTCAAAGCCAAAGCTGCCATTTGTGATAAGGAATAGTGTTGACTACTTCATCATTCAATAAAATCAAAACTAGTTAATTAAAAATCAAAGTTCCCATCAATAGTCATAATTAAAGAAAAAATAGGACTTTAATCCTGATGATAAAAATTCAATTGCTTCCAAATTTTAAGATAAAAACCTACCTATTAGTACCACTACGACTAATTAGAGTAATTATAAAATCGACCTACATATCAAACTTATAGACTGATCTAATATAAATATAATCTTAATTTCTTATCTATCTCAAATATTACGATTTTAGCATAATGGGGTTTTGGGGTTTTGGGG